GATAAATTAGTTGAAATTTAATAGTTAATATTTTTTATAATCTAATCTAAAAAATCATAGTTCAGTATCCGAAAGGGAAAATCAAAAATTTGTTTACACACATACCTAGTTTGTTTTCGTAGATTCGAATTTTAAAATAAAGTAAATTATCTCTATTAAAAATCCTCCGTTCCTCAAAATAGGGAAAGGGGGTAGGTATTAAAAATATGTTTAAATATGCCCCCCCTCTCTATTTGTTTACCAAAATTTTACAAAAAAAATAAAATTTTTAAAAATATCGCATTAAATGTAAAACATTTTTTTATATAAAAATATAATAATATCCCCTTGTAACCCTTTAATAATAATATGAAAAAATGGGCAAGTATTTTTTGAGTTAAAAGGTTTTAATATCGAATTTTATTATTTAAGAATTCACCATTTTTCAACAAATCTCTGCGGAAATGTTAATAATAATAATAATAATAATAACGAAAATAGGACATTTATATTATATAACAAAAAGGTTTAAAAAAACAAATTCAAAAGACTTAAAACTAAATGTAAACAAACGTTCAACTAAATACAGCTCTTTCAGACTAAAACCGAATATATCTATATATATATATGGGGCGTGGCCTCCCTCCAACGCGCGACACAGTAGCTAAGCAAATAGACTGCATCGCTAATGAGATTTTTTGCATTATTATCATTTAATTTTTTAAGTCCTTACCTGCTCGACCTTTCGTCATGTCGTTTATTACACAAGCAACTGTGACGCGCCTTGGAGGGAGGCGAGGCCACGCCCCATATATATATATAGATATATTCGGTTTTATTCTTAACAGGCTGTATATAATCAGACGTGTACATTATTAGAATAACAGTTTTTTCTTTAATTTTATTAAAATTATAAAACAGCATATAATTTAAAATAATAACAGTAATAGAAAATCAAATACAAAAAATACCAAAATTGATGAAAAGAATACACCTGTTTATAAAACAGTTGAATGAAGGTATTGATTATTGCGGTTGATATGTGGAGGCATAATTATTTACGAGGCTACTACATCAGATAGTATAGGTATATCATATACATACATAGGTGGATGATATCTGACCAAATATACGTTTAACTGTTAATTAGTTACAAAGTGGCTCTTGGGCATTGTTAACCACACTAATCTTCTAATTCACATTTACATATTTAGCAATCCGCAGAGCGCATATACACACACATTATCATACATCACCAAATAAACCCAATAATCCGGTGTGCTCCCTTGTTTTCGCCATAACACACAGGTATGCAAAAGATTGGTATTAACGTTACTTTTTATGTTTTACCAAAGTTCATTATATTTTCATATCAGTGAAGGTCGCAAGAACTATGTAGGGAATTGTAGTTGGTTCTAGTAAAAAGATCCTTTACAGAAATATTGGGGCCCTAAGGAATTGTTTTGAAACAGCTATCCCTCAACAAATGCATAATATTGTCGTAAAATAAATCAAGAAAGCAGCGGCAACTTGATTACAAGAGGTTTAAGCGTTTCTGTGGGAAAGTCATTGTTGTTGCGAGATTATAAATTGTTTTCTGTCGACAGTTTGATACAGAGACAGACAAGGAAACCGCAAAGTGTTTCCAACGACATTTGGACGTAATTCATAAATTAAATTAAAACAATTTAATTCGAATACTACCAGAATAAAGGTATTTAGAGAATTACGTCCAAAACAACATTATTTTCCCTAACAAGAAACTTATCTAATTGAAAAGTTAATGTATTGTGCTAGAAGATTCAATGTTATATTAAGTTCTTAAAATGTTCCTTTTAAGTTAAAAAAATGCCATTGAAACTAAAAAATGAGGTTTCAATCATTTTATTCCAAACTCGCCTCAGCCATTCAATTTCGCATATTTTCCATATGAACATATTTGTTTCAGTTTTTACAACGCAACGAAATGTTTTCCATTTTAGGAATTGCAAATGAGCTTGCCATACGTTTCATCAAAATTTCGACATATGTATATCGATGTTTTGCTCTTATTTCTTTCGTTTAAAAAAAATATAAACTACCGAAATTTACTACTACAAATTTAAAAACAGACAGTTGATGTCTACATGTATGATACACCAATATATTTATATTGATAAATTTTATTTATTTGTTTTACAATAACTGTTTACATTGGTCTAGAAAATGTATAATATGTTTTTTACATTTTATTAAATGGTAAAATGGGAAGTTAAAAAGCTAAAAAGCAAAATTCTCCAACACAATAAAAACTAAATTGTTAAAGAAACGTTGGTATTAGAAATTAAACCCCATTTACATGCAGAAAGTGTCCACGTTTTACACAATTGTATATCGTGTCCGAAATATATAGGACTCGCGTCATTTTCACTTATCTTGCCCACTTAAAACTTTTAATGGCCGCATGACGCAAACAATTGCCACTGTGTGGGGCAAGGTTGCCGGATTTAATTAACTTTCCGTTCAAGGTCGGTGCGTTTTAGTTTTGGCGCAGTCGGAAACGGAGAATTTAAAGTAGTCCGGTTGGCTAGGAACTAGTGAAATAAGCAGTTAACTTTAAACTGTGAAAATACAGAAATCATTGTCTAAAATTTAAGAAATATGTTATGGATGTTTTTAAGAAATAATTTAATATCTATTAAAAAAACAAATTTGAATTTACAAACAATATAAATTGTATTTCAACGTTTCCTTTCTTTTTTAAAACCCAATGTGAAAATATTGAAGCACAATATTATTGTAAAATTAGAAAATAACAATATTTTTTATATAGATAAAAACATGAAATATGGAATTAATATAGGAATATGGATATGGTTTAGAAGTTGGGGTAAAAATATAATTAAAATAAATTACTAAGAAAACATTCATGATGTAATTCTTGCTTTAATATATTCTTGATATATTCATTTTGGCCAACAAAAAATACAAAAACAACGTTTGGTCGAAGTTTTGTAACTGCAAGCTGCACAAAGAAGATATCCTTTGTACACTTTTATAAACTTAATAAAACGGTTTTTATTCGTCTAGTAGTAAACTATGTTCTTTTATAGAGTCGCAATAAAAAAAAATACTCTCTACAAGCGCTTTTATGTACTTCAAGTTTATTATTTGCTTCTTCCTTAAAATTAAGCTATAACTTTTTTAATTTATTAAACTATTACTGAAACAATAAATTTGAAGAGATAGGACAGTCAAAAATGATTCCGACAGAAGGCCGCAGAGAAAAAGGTTAGGTCTTTGCGCAGCAAAATTTGTTTATATTAATTAAAAATATTAATTTTTGATTCTTTATCTAGCTTGTTAACATTTCCTTTGTCTTATCATAGTGCCTGCCTGCGGCTTTTTATCTAAACCTTCATTTAACTACCAAATTAAAAAGTTTTTTTTATGTAAGACCAATTCAAGCTTTTTATACCCTTATAAAAAGAATGTTCATATGACATTAACAAAACAGGACCTGTTTTAGCTACAGGTTGCAAATTATGGCGATGCGGTCGAAACATTCTGTAACAAGCAAATTTGTTTTAGCTGCACCGATGCAGCCTATGTACAGTGGGTCAGAAATTCACTTTTTATTTCAGTTCAAAACTTTTTTAAATTTAAGTCCACTAATTTGACTGTTTCATTCGGTACAATTTGACTAATTATTAATGGCGCTATACAGGGTGTTATGTAATTAATGTTATATATTAAAATGGGTTGTTCCCTAGGGTCCATAAAGAAGCACCTGAAACTTTTTTTTTCTAAATTCCAAAAAGTACGCCACTGATCGACTAGGAACTTTAGGCTAATCTGGTTGCCTAATTTAATTTATTATGTTATGGTTGGTAACAACAGCATTCTGTCAAAAAAGTTGACAAACATTGTTTAAATTTAGCTTAATTACAAAAATGACAAAATTAACAATGCAAATTGTCAATTTGGCGTTTTTATTAATTGTTGGTTATGTCATTTTTGTACGGAAGGTAAATTCAAACAAAATCTGACAACTTTTATGACAGAATCTAGTGCATTTCTTTCAAATTTTAGGTTAACTAAGGGAAGTACTTTTGAATTTATTTACACAAATTAAATTTTTAAAGTTTAACCTGTGAACTGGTCCCAATTTCATCTGAGTAAACAGAAAGAAAAAAACCGATGAAAAAATTAATTTTGTGGTTACGAATTTTTTAAAATAGGTACTAAATTTTCTAATCATTGCTTAAGCTAATAGCTGCATGAGTAAATAAATACAGAAGAGTATTAGAGCTTTAAGGGCATAAAACTTTTATATTTTTTGAGTTTTTATTTATTTTTTGCATGAAAAATTTTTAGTAACAATTTTTTTACATCTGGCAACGCGCAGCTACTTTGTTGGTTGGTATCTATGTACTCACAGAGCACAAGTGTGCAGAGATAAACCAAGTGTGTAACCAGTGGCGTATCAAAAAAAATATAAAAAACTTGTAATGCATATTTTTTCTTTATCTTTAGAAAAATATTTTTTTAAATATTTTTCCTTTACTCCTTATGTCAAAAGGTATTCAGTATTTTAATATATAACATTAATTACATAACACCCTGTATGTCATGACTTTTAATAAATCATTCATTAAAAAAATAAAAATTATGTCTTTTTTTATTTAGGGCGCGGGGAAAAATCTGTGTGCTCCTGACAGATGTTATGGTCTTTATAAAAATACTACAATTTTATAAATATAAACTTTAAGTAAGGTAAAAAAATGGTCAAAATATTTTTTATTAAAACTATATATTTTAAAAAATTTGTATTTGGATTTAGAGGTCTAATCCTAACATTAAACCCTTCAAACATATTGTACATAAACCCTGTGCTCTCTAAAAACTCATTTCTGTCCCGTCGTGCATTTACTCCTTGTTTTAATTGTCGAACATCGTAGCGGCTGTGTGCCGAAATTGGAAACAATTGTTCGCGTCGAACCGCACAGATTTATCGATTTTTTTTCTCTCGTTTGTTACAGAGAACCGGAAGTGTTCGTGGCGAGGACTTGCCTTACGTTTTGGGGCTTCCGCTGATAGGCGGTGGACCGTTTTTTCCGCACAACTACAGCCACACGGACGCCGCAGTGTCGAAAACTTTGATTCACTACATCAGCAACTTCATACGTAAAGGGTAAGTGCATCTACCACTAATACAAAATATAACTTCCGCATATATGCCGATGGAAATATTAATTATGAGAACGTATCAAAGTAATTGATAAAAAAATGTTCCTTATCCTTGAGTAAAAAGGTTTAATTTAAAACTTTTTGTTTATTTTGTGATTCCAACATTTGGTAAAAGTTTCACCATGGTCGGAGAAACCAATTTCACGTACATTTTCTCGAAGAGATACTTCGTATGTAAGATAGTTTAATCGAGCAACGAATATGAATAAATGGTTCAGAAATCATCAAAATTTTGTTTTCGTCGATCCATTTAACTGTCTAGCTTTATCACGACCGCAGACAAAATCGGTACTCGGAAAAATAGACGCCAAATCGCACATGTATCCGATCAAAATCCAAATTTTACTGAATTCTTGTTGCACTTACACCTGCGACCTAAGCCACACTCATTGACACCAGTGTTGCCACGTTTTAATGAAATGAGTATGAGTATGAGTATGGGAACGTATGGCAGGCCCCAAAGACATTGTACTCCACTAATCTCCCAGGGTTAGTTTACCCCCTTTCCGTTCTCCTGCGTATCCCGCCAAATCACAGCTTTACCTGTGTTTGTTGGATTCGAAGTTTTTACGCCGGCTGGTAGATCCACCCTAGGAGATCGTGGAAGACAGTGTCTATGGTTAAGGCCGCTCCACGGATTTTTGTCAGCCGGGTCGGGCCATACGTCATGTTTAGGAGGACATTGAACTGACCCAAAACTAAGTACAATCCGGAATCCTCCTCAACCTGGGCCTTAGTAATAACCCCATTCAATTGGGATTCATGAATGGGGGTAGAAGTGTTAGTACGCTGCTAGAACCTGTCCTTGTTGGTGTATTTCTGAACATCTCTGTCCGAGTCAGTATCAGGTTCCTGGTAACCTCTTTAGAATTGTTTGGCCCCCTGTATGATACTGAGTCTTGTCTTCCGTAGCGGTTGACGGCCCTGACACACCGTGGGTGCCCTCTCCCTTGGTGGATATTCCTCCTGCCAAGTATCGGCTACCCACCTTGTATATTCCTTATTTATTTTATTGTTAAATTAGTATCTATATAAATTTAATATAAATATCAATTAGTCAATACCAATACTAATACTAATTAATACAAATAATTAATACCAACAATATTAACATCAATACCAACACCAACACCAATAATATCAATACCAATCAATCAATCAATTAATTTATTAATTAATCACTTTAGTGTAAATACCAATATACAAAATAGATAAAGCCGGCCCTGTATTGTATGTAATTGAATGCGGCCATATGGCCTGCATTGGCTATTGAGTGGGTCGTTCTTCTTATCTTCTGTGTATTTATTTGGCTTTGATTTATGGCTTGTCTTCTTGCTTGATTTGGTTTATTTACTCTTACGCCTTTTTCAATGGTTGTTTATGATTTGTCTACTATGAGAAAATGAGGTTGTTTATTTAACACTTACGGAAATGTTCTTATTATTTTTGAGACAAACAAAAGAATTCTTAGATTTTTTGGCAACATTGTGAAATGCTTATATAAACATTTAACGATTATACGGTAAGACATGCAATTAGAAAAATTACTTAGCTTGATTATTAGGCTATAATCCTGATGCTTTGTCTTTCGCGGGCTATCCGTTGTTCCTTCGCCTGCAGGTTTTTGGCACGCTCTGATCCAGGTGTGCCGGTTGGCTTATCGTTGTGGCCTAGCCTTAATTACCTATTCACTTGCACACTTTTACGGCGTTGTCCCGCAATTTTCGCACTTGTTGCACTTTTTGCACTTCTCGCACTTGTTTGTTTATTTATTTATTTATGTATCCATTTATTAACGATTACCTATATTTCCGGATACTTTGTTTCGTTTTTGGTACCTTACCACGCTTGTATCGTAAACGCTACTTAGGAGGGATTTATCTTGAGGCGTCCGACCGCTTAGAGTGTCAAGACCCAACTGGCCGTTTTAAGGAAATAAGTATACAAATTTATTGTTTACACCTCATATTTTCTTAAATATTAATAAAACGTTCTCCTGGCTACAAAAGCAAACTTTTTTATGAGTATGTGTATGAGACTCGTATTTTTGGTGACACCATCTTTCCCGAGCCGATTTTTTTTTCGAGATTTCTGTTTTTAGTTTGGGAGTTGTAAGTTAGCTGTAGGAGGCTATCTTTTCTAGTCGTAGTCTACTTCTTGTCCTTCGTTGTCAAAGTCTATGTCCACGTCGGATTGTTCCTGTATTTAGTATACTGTTTCAGTCATTTTTAAGGCTCCCAACTATCACGGTTAATCTGGTTTTTAGGGGACAATAACGCCAACCCAAACCTAAGTATGACTCAAAATCTTCCTAAACCTGGAAGTTGGTATTTACCACAAGCGTTTGGGGTTTTGTTTGCAGCTAATGAGTTGTTATTTAGCTGTGAGAAGCTAGCTTTTACTAGTTTGTGATGAATCTTTGTCATCGGTTTCCGTTTCTACGTCCGAGTCTGTCAAAATAAGCAGCTTCAATCAAGATGCAGCTACTCTTACCAAATACGGACCTCATAGAAGATTCAGCCATTTTAACAAGTTGTTATTTTACTAGGCTAAAAAAATAAAAAACAGATACAAACATTATTTTGCTCCACTGTGTGAAATCCGTTAAATTATGAAATAGACCAAAATTTGACAAAATTCTCCGTCCTCGTCGGGTTGATCAAAATAAAAAGCTGGCTTCAAGGAAGATTTAACTACTTTTACCAAATACTGACTTTAAAGAAGATTCAGCCCTATTAAACAAGTCATTCTTTTGCTAACCTGAAAAGTGTTAGAAAACAGATATATTATAATTATTTTACCTCACCGTGCAAAAACCATTAATTAATTTTCCAACTGGTATAATATTGCCCTTGGTACTTGGTATGCTTGGGTGACTGAATCCTTTAGTTTGTTTGCCTTTGCCTTTGATTTTATGCATTGTAAGTGTTTGTACTTTAGCCTGCTTCCCTGCAATGTATTTTTTTGTTTCTTAAATTCAATTAAAAAATGCAAGATTGTTTGTTAGTAAATTGCGAATTATCGTGCTTGATAACTATGGTACTTATACTTTTTATCTGCAGTCCCCTTGGTGCTTAAGTTTTGATCTGTTGTGTTTTGTCTCCTTCAATAGTCATGTACGTTTTTCTTTTCACTTAAAACTGCTTTCACACAGTATTTTCACTTATTTTTCTTAATATTTTACCTGAGAAATTTTTGTTTAGTTTTTATAAAGTCTCTTAGTGTTTAAGACAAAACGGATTTTGATATTCCACAAATTGGGGACAGTTTTTGGCATGTACTTTTAACATGGGTAATATTTATTCTTCTTTCGACAATCGAGCGTCCTGGTTTGTTTTGTTTTACTCTTTCGGTTAAATAAATATAGTTTAGCCTAAGTTTTTACCCTTACATGCTAAGATTATATTTTATATCACAAAAACTTTGGTTTGGAGGCAGAGTGGCATTTTTTTTTGCCACATAGCACGAAAAAGAACCTTGTGATGGAATAGGGGGAACCGTTAAGAGATTGGTTTCAAAAGAAAGCCTGCAAAGACCATATAAGAATGAAAGAAATACATTTTTTATATAAAACCTGAAATAATAAAACAACTAAAATTAATCCTTGTACTAAAAAATAATAGAAGTTTTCATTCATTTATGCCTAAAAATTTACAAATTATTCAGGTTTGAAGTACATCGGAATCAAACCGTTTTAAAAAGAACAAAATATTAAAAAGAACAAAATTTGCAGCTTTAAAAACCAACAAATTATGTTAAATTTTATTAGGGTTTTCCACTCTCCAAAAATGAATTAGTCAAAAATGACTAATTAAATAGTTATTAGTGGCTGCTTTTTCACTTTTACCATGGTTAACCATGGACTACCATGGTATCCCAAAATTTAACAGCCAATTCTTATGTAAAATTGTCCTTTGAATCCGAAAATGTCGTCAAAAGTAAAAAAAAGTAGAACAGTTTTTGAGATACAGTCAATTTTCCATTTAAAGCGGAATTGACAATATCTCAAAAACGACTCTACTTTCATAATTTTTGATGATATTTTCGGATTTAGGGGACAATTTTACATAGGAATTGGCTGTTAAATTTTGGGATACATGGTTAACCATGGTAGAATTGAAAAAGCAATAACTAATAACTATTGAATTAGTCATTTTTGACTAATTCATTTTTAGAGAGCAATAGAAATTGTTATTAAATTTAAATTAACAACCACCTTAATAGATTAATAGATAAATTTAAGATTTCATGTGAAAAAACAATATAAACGTTACCTTTAACATAGTTTTATATTATAAATGCACGTTAATATTTATAGCATTGTTCACGATAAAAATAAACAAGTTCTCTGTTAAAAGAATTACACATAATTATTCACTTAGGCATAGTACCAAAATTGTTCTTGTGTTAAATTAAATAATTGAATCTGATTGGTTGAAATCATTTAACAGTGATAAAAATAACATAGGCGATCCATCATAGCCCTCAATATGTTATCATTCTGTACCTTAAGATTACAATATTACGCTCCATGGTTAAATGGCCCATAAAAACAAACAAAGATGCAAAAAGTTTAGCTCAAAACAACACAAAAAATATATACAATTATTAACAATATTTATAGACAAAATTTGATAAAACTGATTTTTATAAAAGTGACTTATAGCGCATTGGTCTGACTTTCGCTTGACAAGCGATAGACCCCGGCTGGGTCAGAAATTTTTAAATTTAAATCCACTAATTTGACTATTTTATTCGGTAGAATTTGACTAATTATTAGTGACTGCTTTTTTGCTATGACAATCAGTCAAATATGACTTAATTAATTATTTTTGAATAATTCATTTTTAGAGAGTGTTCAGTAAGCTTTTATTTATAAACACACAAAAAATAAACTGCATAAACGTGTTTATAGAAAAGTTATAAATATTTATTTGTTACGGT